ACAACCAAACGATACGTCGCATTTTGTTAACTCCTGGCGGCACGCTTTTTAAGGGCAACTACTGCTTTTTCATCGAAGAAGGAGTAAGACAAGTCATAAATAGCTGCAAAGCACTCTCACTCCCCTGCCCTGAACTCCCGGCTGGGCTTTCCACCACCAGCTTGACTCTGGAGCCTTGTGCTTGTCCCCAGCTGGGATATTTTGGGAGAGCAAGGACCTGCTATCCCATCTGCCTCAGCAGACCTGTATTCCAATGATCTGTTAACAAAAAGCGTTTTTACATCTAGTTACCTAATGCAGATTTGTGTTCAAAGTGTACAGATTCATACAAAATGAATAATGAAAGACACTCATGGATTTATGCTACAGCTGCCTGCATTACACGTGGCAACCCAGCAAATTCTTATCTACCTGCCTTCCAAAACATTTGGGTTTTTTTACAGCAATATTCTCTGTTTTTTGCGTATGCTTTCACCACGCTTCCGAAGGAAGAACTTTTGTTTGTAAATTTTGGTTATAAATTTACACGTGCTTCTCTGGAGATAATGTCAAATCATGTGAAACAACATCCCATAAATATTGCATAAATACATTTGACTCCATGAGGAGTTTATTATATTTTCAAATTGAGGAATGCTTTCATAATCACATATTTGGGAAAACATACTGCCTGTTCCTAGGGGGCAAAAGTATATTATTTTGAAAGATGACACGTTTTAACCACTTCACTATTTGTAGTCAGAAATCAATTTATAGCTATCACAATCTTATCGGTTTCAGCTACATTATAGTTATTTTCTGCATGAGGAAAGCTGATGTGAATTTTTTGAAGTATAGCTGCAAATGGACTTCTAATGGATAAATAATATGGATGGGTAATTTATGGAAAAATAATGTTTCTATGCCTAAATGTTTGCAAGAAAAATCATTTAATTACATGTACCATTAAGATGGCTCTTTGGCAATAGCTATGTGAAAACTCATTAACAGAGTTCTTCAGAGACAGGACAAGACAAATTATTACTATGCTGCTTATGAAAGCTTCTGATTAAGAGAGCAATGAAAAAATATTAATATTTTGTTGCCAATCAAGATATCACATAAAAATGATTTAAAGTAATACACTTAAACAACCAGGCTTTATAGTAATCGTCAACCTCTCAGCTCTGCGGAAATTTAGGATTATCTAGGTTTTTGTTGACGGTCTTTGTCAGTTCTAGCATAAATCTGAAACGCTGTCAACCTACTCGCATCACATTTGTTACGTATCTGGAGAGAATAAAGCCACAAAGGACTTCTTGGCAGTGCCTCTCCTGTGCTGCTCTCACACCTATCTGGAAAGATTCTGCTGGGTTTTTTTTTGTTTTTTTTTTTTCCTAGTGTAAGGCTTCTATTTTCATCTGATTTCTTGAATTAGCATTTAGAAGAGAAAGAGTTTAATTGAAATATAATAGGAGGATTTCTCCAATCCTGTAGCTGTGTATGTGATTACCATTGTGCCAAGAGCAGGGAGGATTTTCTTCAAGTTAAAAAGGTACAATTAATCTCCCGTTGCACTTTCAATTAGCCAAATTGCTAACCTTATTGTGAAAAGCAGAAATGCAATCGAGTGTCTGCTTGAGGCGTACGAAAAGAAAACTGAAGTAATTTAATTAACTGGCTTCAAGTGTATTAAGAATCACACTGCCTTTACTTTCCTGCTGCCAACACCCAGAAATAGATTATTGTTTAATGTTTGAGATTGGGTACCCACGAAAGCATAAAGCTTTGAACTCTCCGCTGTCCTCCACCCTAACCCACGTGTGATTGCACATATCTTCACACTACGAACCTCAAAGCCAATGCTGGTGCTCCTTCCATGCTACGTGCAAGTATCAACCCCAAACACGTGTCCTCAGGTTGCACATGAAGGTGGCTCGCACCCTACGAGAAGAGGGCTTCTTAAACTTGTGATTAATCTGAATACGAAGACTGGATTTAGCAGCTGAAGGACCATCTCTTCATCCCTGCTACCAATAAGTGCTTCAGGTGCCCATCCTTGGTAGCCAGAGAGGGGACACCCTGAGCTCAAAAGCCCTACAGACTGTCCATAGTGGAAGAGGAAAAAGACAGTGACCCCTAAATGGTGTCACCTCAAATAGCCAGACCAGAATACAGACGGCAAGAATATATACAGAACAGAAAAAAACTCTACAGTTTAATTAAAGATGAAAAAAGTGTGGAGGTGTTTATTAGATTAAAAAAAAAAAAAAGTTGATGTGTGCTAGTAGCAGCTGTTATATGACAAGGTGATAGAGGTCATAAACTGACACATGAAACTTTAAAATCAAGGCATAAATCCCGTTTTTCCTCCTTGCAATAATCTCATAATGCTCCATATCAAATATGGTCTCTCAGTGATACACTACTTCAAACAGACCAAAAAGTTATTTTTTCATTTTTTCTGCTGTATAGCATGGTACTATCCCAGGGGGTGCTGAATCATTCAGGAACCAGTCAGTTTACGTGCAAGAACGTAACTCCTCCTGTTAACATTTAACAACCAACAAGAAAGAGAATTACTTCTAGAAATGGGCTTGGCCCAGTACTAAGCTAGGGCGGATCTGGCATTTCAGCCCGAAAACAAACTCCTCAAAATTGTAGGAGTTGCAAATGAAGTCTCAGAGTCTCATGCTATTGATCCTTCTACGTCTTTCTACTCCAATTCCTGAAAGGCCATTTTGTGTCCTGCTCACACACAAACTTTAAAGATGAATGTGATCGCAACCAAAATTTCATAATGGTAAGACAAATATCTGGAATTTTCAGTCTTTTTTGTCCAAAAAAATTCTACGATTGAGCCTCCAGGGTGTGTGGACATAAGATTTCAGAGCAGCTGAACCTCTCTTCTAACCCCAGTCCAACCTTGAGCCCCAAAATAACAACATGAACCCCACGATGTCTCAGATCTAGAGGGTAAATCTACCTGTCAAAAGAAAAGGCTCCTTCCAGGCTTGAAGCTTTAGAATTCGCTCGCTACAGCTTAAACTAAGCGTGTTGGCAGCGCGTGTAATTTTTACTAAAGCTTAAGCTACGTCGAGGAACAGATGTCTCCTGGGGAACACTTGCAGAGGGTGCAAGAGGCGGCGAGCTGCCAGGTCAACCACTCACACGGCTCCGACGCCAGCAGGGAAGGCCTGACTTTGCACATTGCAGCTCGGCAGCTGTCCATCTATTTTTAGTGCCAGCGACCCAAAGGCCGTTATCCTAACCCAGGAGCTCAATGACGTCTCTAAGAAATCCGGTCAGGTTCAAGCGCCTTCAGGCTGGCTCTGCAACCCTCCTATGGTTGTGGGATGTTTGCTGGTTTCGTTTCGATGTCAACACTCCAAATGGTGACAAGAAATGCGTTTCAGAAGCGCAATGCTTGCTTTGATGAAGAGAAAAGAAGGTTTAGGTGGTTGTAATTACTGAGTTTGTGCAAACAGTGATCACCTATACATAGTGCCCTTGATTTTCCTGCTAAAAGCCAACAAATCATGTGCTAAGTTGCAGTATTTCTGTTCCATGTACTGTAATTTTCATGTATTAATGCAGAGTAGTACAGCACAGATTTTTCTCATTTCAGGATTCCTGGATACACAACAATTCAGGGAGCTACAGTGCTGACTGTAACAACTCTGAACTGAGTGGTTATCAAATTAACAAGAGCTGAATAAAAATATAAATCAATGCCTGCTGTAGCATAATTAAACTAAAACCTGATTTACCGTGTACTTTAATGCAAAGAGAAATGAAATACAGACCATATTTTTTGCACACTGCTTTCCACTCTCCCCGTTATTAAATGTTATTAAATCAATGAGTAAGTTTACACCATTATTCAGGTACTGTCTTTACTACAAGCTATGACTCACACATCAGACCAGTACTGCAAACAAAAAGAGATTCATCTTTTCTGCCAGGGTATTGCCACGCCTTGCTGAAAAACCTGTATTTTAACCTGCTCGTCAGAATTAGTAGCTGAGGAATGAGAAGACAAGATTTGGCTGAATGGCAAGTAAAATAGGAGGAACAGAAAGAAAAACGTATTATTTGGTTTAGGCAGAGGAGAGGTTTCAATGCCAACCATAACTATTGTTTCACGCTCTTGATGAATCTGCCTCTTTGCACTAAGAAAGGGATCCCCGAGGAGTTACTGGCCTGCAGAGCTGCTTTCCCCTGGTTTTCCAGGGCTGCTGTCCATGGAGCACAGGTTGCACCAAACTGAATGAGCAACAAGGGATGAAGTACCAGAGTTATTTAAGTGCTGGGTTATTACAGTACAGAGTTTTAATTTTGTATTTCATATTGAGGTGCTGGGGCGAGTGCAGAGGAGGGCAACGAAGCTGGAGAATAAATCTTACGAGGAGTGACTGCAGGAGCTGGGGCTGTTGAGTTTGGAGCAGAGGAGGCTGAGGGGAGCCCTCCTCACTCTCTGCAACTGCCTGACAGGACGGTGTGGAGAGGTTGGTGCTGGTCTCTTCTCACGGGTAATTAGCAATAGCACAAGAGGGAACGGCTGCAAACTGCAACAGGGCAGGGTCACACTGGGCATTAGGAGAAAATTTTTTCTCAGGAAGAGTAGTCAGACACTGGCACAGGTGGCCCAGGGAGGGGGTTGAGTCCCCAGCCCTGGAGGTGTTTGAAGGCCGTTGAGATGTGGGGTTGGGGGAGATGGTTTAGGGATGAGCTTTGTAGAATAGGGTTAATGGTTGGACTCGAAGAACCCAAGGGACTTTTCCAACCTGAATGATCCTATGCTAATAACATTCCAAGCATCCCTACCCCTCAGCTGCATACATCTTATTTCCCTTTTATTCCTGAGACACATTCACATAAACCCAAAATATCCTGCTGGCTCCCAGTTTTCCATAATGATTACAAGATAGAACCTCCCTTAAAACTATCATCTGTTAATTGAAGGTCATGTTCGATGCTCTAAAAAAAAAATAAATGACAAGAGTGACTCCAGGACTTACATTAATATCCTCCAAGTCGAGGAAGTTGAGGATGATGCCGTTGCGCTTCCAGATGATGGGAGGCCGCAGGGCCCCGCGGATGTTGCACGTCAGAACGGTGCTGAGGCCAACTGTGATGGTGGTAACGCTGATCTTCTGGTCCTCTGGCAGGATCAGCCGAACCACCTCTGCAAAAGGCAACAAAACAGGAATATTACCAAATATTACAAAGGGAAGTTGTTTCCCTTCTGCCTCCAGGAATAACTTTGAAGGTTCTGCCAAGGTCCTTTGAAAAGGCACAAGAATGGGTCAGGTTCTTGCCCTGAAGAAGAATTAAGACAAGATCATTGTCACTGAAATATAAATAAACTCAGTTTTAAATTGCCCAAATATTGGAATTCACCAAGCACAAAAACTCCTTTACCAATTGCAGCCTCATACAGCATCTGAGGCACAGATGTTCTTCTAACCAAAGAGCGAGAAGCTTTCTCATGTTTTATTTAAATTAAAAAAAAATTAGTCATTTTAACTTAACCATATGAGGTAAAAGTAAAAGCTGTTCTGCAGAAGAGGTAGCTACAGTTTTGATATGTAGTTGATCAAAAATGGGAATGTTTGACCAACTTACTGCCATTATTTGGGTGGTGGTGTCTCCCACAGGCATTACACGAGAACAGAGCCTGACAGAGTCAGACTATCAAGCACTTTCTGCACCTGAAACCTCCAAATCCAAAAGGGGAGAGAGAGAAAGATCGGGAAGGGAAGGAGAACATTACCCAGCCAAGGTAACTGTGGGGGTTAGTGGCAAAACCGGGAATAGAAAATACATCATCAAATCACATCTCCTTCAGGTACCTGTGGAGGAGATGTGAGACGTGGCCAAGCGAGGACTGTGGAGAGCAGCCCAAGGCAGGTCCCACCCAAGAGGTCCCATCCCACCACCCTCACCCAGCTGCCTGCAGCACATATACAGCACGTAGGGGCCAACACCACAGTTACCTTCTGCATCAAAGAGAGCTCCTTTTTTACAAATACAATATTTGGAGTGCACTTGACAGGATAAAGAACTGATAATTACAATAATTTGTAGCCTGGAGTAGGGCTAATGAGGACGTCTTTTCTTGAGGAGAAATGAAATACAGGGTCATTCATCTACGAGAGAATTGTTTGTTCATCTTACTGCTGTTTTCCTTAATTCCCTCTGCTGTTCCTCACGCTGCCTAGCGTTCCCTGGCTCACGCTGGGCTCCCATCATCCTCCTCTTGAGCAACATTTCTGTGTTTTGTTGCAGCACAATTCAAGGCACCCTGCCCAGCTTCCGAAGGACAGCTAAAAGGGCTTTGGAATTACATTTTAGAGGGACGCTAATGAAAAATACGTTAACTTTTAATTACAAAGACAGCTTGCATAGCTGCCATTCTTGGACGAACCGCATCAGGCCAAGAGATGACTTTTTATGTTAAAGCACGTAATTAGCACAGACCACTTGAACAATACAAACATGGTCCTTTTTCAGTATTTCTCTGGAGTACATTTGAGGGCATCTTATCCACATCTAAAAGCCTTCCTACTAATAAAGGCTTATTTTGTGTGGCTTTAGTCATTGCTTCATTGCTATCAACAGAAAAGATTTCCTTACACGACCAGGTGTATTGAGGAGGAAACAAAGATGCCCTAAGAGAATGCGAGGGCTGGGCTTTTAACATAAATCTTTAAAAACCCCTCAGAATCTTGTAGTGAAGTCACAGAGCTTAGACACACCGATGCTAGCAGGAGTCTGCGTACAAATTCGTCAAGTAACCACAATGATTCTGTGCAGAGCCTCTAGATTAAGTATTGAACACTGCTCACTTTATTTTAAAAAAACCTTCAGGAGAGAAAAAGGCTTCTTTTACCACGCACATAAACCTGAACAGAACAAATGGGTAATTCAAAGTGTGCTCACTCGCAGAACACAGGCTGGAATGGAATTCAGTCCTAAAATCAAGCAATTTTATGTTCGTTTGGAAATTCTGCAGGATGATGCACGCAAAACAGCTTTCCATATTCAACAGATTCAACCAGTATCAGTCCTAGCTGATCATATTTATCGGCTCGTGTCAAACCTGGTTCTCTCCTCTGGGATTTCAGTTGAAGCAACTCCTCAGTCTATTCAAACCAGACCTTTGGTGACCCAGCTGCAGCCATTCCGATGTTCCTACATAAAATTTCCTGCAACACCAGGTCCCGCAGCGACGCATTTGAGAACACGAAGCCTTACTAATTCCTTTTCTTGTTAAAAATGTCAAGATATTGTCGAACACTTTCCTCAGCCCCTCCTCCGCTCCAATTTTATTTCTTCAGGTGCTAAGCTGGAGCTGCTCTGCACCTTTGCAAGCTGTGCATACTAATTCGAGCAGGTATTACTTGTTGTGCTATTTTATCATGGAAATCTTTTGCTCTGCTGTCATTTGCAGCCCGCCAAAGGCAATCATAATTTCACAATGAAGACATGTATAATTGAGGTCATTATAGGGAGCAACCTGGAATGAGCATCTATGGAGAAAAACTCATTGATTTAGCACTGCGTGGAGATAATTTACATAGTAAATGTCGGCTGCCTGCCCGCTTTTGCTCATGCTACACTACCTACAGAAACAGAACTCACACTTTAAAAAGTGCTTAATATCATTAATTAGATCTTTTCCCTCAAATCTAAAGAAAAAATATTTTTAATGCATTGTTGCCGCCTTTAATCACTGTTACATTTGTTCATGGGTGTCTTGCCTTGCTAAAATAGCATAAAGAGCAATTGACTCTACTGCTCAGACTCTGCTTACAGGAGGAGGCAAAACTTTTTTAACCCTATCACTTGCTCCCCTTGGGGAGACAATAAACCCAAAAGTAGCCCTGCCTGAAGCCATGGGAGGATGGCTTTCCAAGAAAGTCTCAAGCACAGATTCTTGCCCCCAAGCAGAACACTCCCAAGCAGAAACACTTTTTTGTGAACACGGGTAACACAACCCTAAATACATCACGCTTCTCCAGCAGCGGTTCAAGTTGGGATTGATTTAATGGGATGAAAACTTCAGCCTCCACTCAATTCTCCACGTGTTTACGCACTGCTTTAGTAAAACCTGCTTGTTGCCTCGTGGTCCAATATTGCAGCATGAAGGTCTATGGTGATTTAGAATTTGTTTCCATAGATAAAAGACTCTTCTCTAGCTGAATCCTTAGGTGAGAAGCTAAGGGAGTCAAGAAAATCAGAAAAATGAATGGCTCAGAGGGAAAAAAAACCCCAGGATATACCTTTAAAAATTGATTTTTCAGAATTTTGATGAGATGTATTTGGTTTTGCATAGAGAGGGGAGGGCAAATTTAGACCCTCTTAAGTCTGAACTTCTTGCAGCTAACTGATTTTAAAATTACCCTCTTACACACGAAATGTGTTTATAAACATGGGACTGAACATGAAATCTGGCCAGTCAAAGAGTGACTCTGGTGCTACTGTTTAGGAGACCCTGCGATGAGACGTGGTCAACTAATTAGTTACCATAGAGGGATTAAAAGAAATGGAGGGCAGTTCACAGTGGGTCTGAATCTGAAACGCACTGTGTAACATGCTTATAAATTACTCCTATTAGCATGTGATTTAGTTTCTACTCTACTCTATAGACTAAATAAATGAATTAATAAAAATCTTAGCACACAAATCACCCTGGGTTTGCACGCCTTGGCAAACCTGCCACACCAGCTGTTTTTAGGACTATTTCCAGAAGAAATGTTGCCATGATATCAGATTTTAGTGGTTATTAAGATTCAACAAGACTGGAAGCATTTACAGTCTTCTCACCTGTCCAGAGCCAGGTGAAAGGATTATCCATCACCCAGCCCCAAAAGAAAACTCCATTTTTGGAACATTGATTTAGAATTGGAAGAAAACCAGTCATGCTCCTAAAAATGTTTATGTTATTAATTAACAACGCTAGAGCTGTTAATGAACATGATTAAAGTTGTTCACAACTAATTAACCCAGTGGATTCTAACAGCTCCTGCATCGCTTCAGAGCAGGTGATTGAGGTGAGGCTTCTGGCTCCACAACCTGTGAAAAAAACCATCAAGAGCTGCTGCTGGCCACCTTTGGTGTCCCCCAGCACCGCCCAGCTGAAACACGCCCTGGGACATCCTAGGAGCTCGGTTTCTCTCAAGAAGAGGCACCAAAACGCAGCATTCCTCTAAGGCTTGGAAGCTTAATTAACGCGAATAATAAAACGATTTCTAAAGCTAAACAGGGAAGTTCTACCTCAGCTTTCTCTTGTAACTGCAATAATTCAAGTTCTTAATGTAATTTATAAATCCTCATGGCGTGCTACTTCAGGAAGCATTTTATTGTAAATTCTCTGCTAAATTAGTAATGCTGTTTTCTAAGTCATAAAAAGGCATAATCATATTTCTAGTGGTATGAAAGAATTCAGTACCTGAAGCCCTCTCCTGTCATTACTCTTGAAGGCCACAGGCTACGACTCCCTGAGGTAGGTCCCAACCTCGCACTGAGAGCTAAAACCTGTCTTATTGTGGGATTCAGCATAAATGTGTGCAAATCACCAGTGACATTCAGCTCTGGTATGGGGCTAGAGGACAAGACTCTGTCTCTCCTCCCTGTCAAGCTGAACAGCTCTTGCAGTCTGTAGGAATATGACTTCTAGGTAAAAACATGAGAGAAAAGCATCTATTAAAACAATTAAAATGCCTTTTACTTTTTTCTTCAGCAGCCGAGACATGTTGTGCGTTCATAAAACACTATCACTGCCACATCGCAGAACGGTTTGGGTTGGGTTTGATTATTTAGGCATCGAGAATACGCAGAATAAAACAAAGATTAACTTGAAAGGTGGATAAAAGATCTCACATCAGAGTGAGGTCCAGCTTCCAGCTAAGAGGAATTAGGACTTCACACGCAGACCAAGCTGCCCTTGCTTCTGCGAAATACCTGCATATTCTCATGAACCTTCTGCAAGAGTGAAGAAATGCCCTGGGGGGAGGATGAGCATCCTACACAGCCGCTGGACTGGAGAGCAACTCAGGGTCTTCCTTTCCTGGCTTTGTGAGGAGGGATTCAGAGCTCCGGAACCGGAGAGATCTGGAGGCCAGTACGACCTTCAAGGCAGAGTCTCAGTGTCCTCTCCTGGGTCATCTGACTTGGACCCAC